CCCCAAAACCCCAAAACCCCAAAACCCCAAAACCCCATTTTCCGAAAAAATTGTTGAAAATTGGTATCTGAGGCTAGGGTCATATATGGAATATTAAGCAAGTTTTATGTAAGATCATGCATTAAGACTCTTCAGTGGCTGATTGTTGCTTCCTCAAACTTGGCTTTACATATTTGCAAGAGCCATCAGCACACTCTACCATGTTGGATTTGACAACGTCTAAAACTGACCTAACTTTTCTAAGTTTTACAGTTTCTATTTTAGCATCTTTGATCATATTCCCTTCACTGTAGATAACAGTTTTTCTGATTGCATCATTGCTGCTGTCAGCAATGTAGAGAGTTATCTCATCCTTTTCTTGATCATATTTGTATCAAGAATCTGTAGGCTCCATGAATTGACACTTCAGACCACTTCCATCCTTAAGTCCTCCAACTCCATCTCCCAGGATAGTCTCAATGTTATCTGCTTCAGGATCGCATAACTTAATTTTATGATTATACGAGTCAAGGAGGAGGACTTTCTTAAGTGGGTCGATGTAGTCTAACCCTACAGGATGTTGGAGCTTAGCTTCAATTCCGACTCCGTCAACATCTCCGTATGAGAATAGATTTGTAGATGTTCCATCCCCACCCACAACAGTTCTTGCTGATTTTAGATCATCTAAGTCTATACATCTGACTGCGGAGGACTCTGAATCTGCAACGTATAGCTCTTTCTTTCCATCCTGGCCTGGTCCAAAAGCAACACCAGAGGGTTGGGCCCATGTACAATTCATCAAATTTGTTTGATCATCATGGCAGCCCTCAACGCCATTTCCAGAAAAGGGTTTAATAGTGTTTGCCTCTAAATCCAGTTTCCAGATCTGATGTATCCCGGACATAGCAATGTAGAAGCTGTGAATATCCTTATCATATACGATGTCAAAAGGAGTAGTCAGATTTTGCTGCATCATGTTATCATTGTTCGTCTGAGGATCCTCCCCTCTGATCCCAGTTCCAGCCAATGTGGTGACTTCCCTTGTCTCCAAATTAGCAACTCTGATGTAATGATTTTTACCATCACAAATATAGAGTTGGTTGTTTAGATATGCTATGCCGAACGTCTGGTTAAACTGAGCTTCCTCGAAAGAGCCATCTTTATAGCCTTTCTCACCTTTTCCAATGATATCAAGTCATTTATAGTTGCTTTCATTGATGATGATAACTCTGTGATTGCCCATATCTGATATCACAAGGATATCGTCACCATATAGCTTGCATTCTTCTTTTCTAACATGGATTATCTTGTGGGGAAACCTTAAATTTGATTTTATTGCTATCTTCCTCTCAGGAGAGAACTCATCAGTTGATTCATTAGCTTTCTCAGTTAGCTCCTTCTCTGTCTCAAGAGTTATTGGAAGAGGTTCCTTGGATAGAGACGAGTCATAATAGTCATAAGCAGCTTCTAAGAACACTTCAAGGTCTTCTGGAGGAACTAATTCTTTGTATACTTTCAAAATCTTCTGATTTGGAGCAATGATGTACACTGTTGGCCAATAGTAACTATTGTAAGCAGACCATACTTGCATAGAGACATCATTTACTACTGAATGCTTGATATCATACTTCAGGATATTTTTCCTAAGATGATATGAATCTGATTCTGCTTCAAATTTTCCAGAATGAACCCCAATAAAAGCCAATCCCTTATACTCCTCAAACTTTTCTTCCAATCTTTCAAGTACTGGGAGTAGGTGTAAGCAGTCACATCATCAAGATGTCCAGAAATCTATCAAAACAAGTCTATTCTTCAAATTTGTGTCAAAAGAAAGTGGCTCTGAATTAAACCACTCAAGCTCGTTGTCAAACTCATTTGCTATTTCTTCTGATTCTTGTTCGATCTGTGGCATCTGCTCAAAATACTTGTCATAGAGATCCTTGTTCTTAGTGCTTTCTGCAAACTTTGGCAACTCCTTGATCCCCTCTTGGCTCCCTGAAGGATCCATCTGTCAAAAGTTGGTAATTAAATTAAATCAAGAAATACTTAATTTTTGGGGTTTTGGGGTTTTGGGGTTTTGGGGTTTTGGGG